AAACAAAGGAATATACAACCGCTGGACTACCAACTATATTGAAGCCCTGTTCTACCTTCACTGCTATCAGTATTTACAACCTGGATTAAAGCACTTTTCTTACTTATTTACAAACTTTGTTAAAGCTTTCTCCCCCTACTTTTATTCTTACTTACAAACGCGGAGCTGCTTCATGTCCTTCAGGACCCCCGCAGAGACAGTTTTTCTTGCGGGTGCGGCGCCAGGGAAGGGGCAGTGACACATTCATCTTCTCTTTCATCGATGGCCAATGCCTCAAAGGTTGCACGCGCAAGTTTCTTTTTTGTTTTTTTTCCCAGAATTTTCATGATTTGCAAACTTGCGATGCGCCGGCATTCTCGACAATGGACTGATCGATGTCCCCTGCTGATGTCTTCCTTAATGAAGCAGCATGTTCCCTTTTCCGGTCGTTGATGCAACGACAGGTGTGGCCTATGTAGCATCGACATCATGATGGTGGGATGTTATATATGACTCCTTTCTTCATTCAGGTGGATGAGAGAAGAAGAAAATCCACAAAAAAGTAATCTTACAAATACTTGAAAGAAACCTCCAGGACAGCCTTGCCACAAAAATCAAAGGAGCAAAGGAGGACCACCTTGATGTTTTTTTCTCGGTTAAGACCCACAAGGTAGATGTTTCGTTTCGTGCTATGGTTTCGGAAAGAAGAGCATGGCAAGCACATGTGTCGGTCTTTTTGGCGAAACATTTTTCCATAGTTCAGATACAATATCCTTTGAAGGTACCTAACTCAAGAAGTGTTATCGGCCTCCTTCATGACAAGGCCTCTGAAATTTTCCATTGACGTTCAAGACATGTTTTATTCAATTCCACATGCAAGGTTCTTAATATTCCTCGAACAACCATAGAGAAACAGGGTGCCATCTCATTCCAGAATGCGGCAGGAATCAACCTGGACAATTTTATGGAACTACTGAGTGTCTATGCAACAGCGACGGTCATATCAAGATCGACGATATGTACAGAAAACCGGTGTGTGCATCGGATTTTATGTGGGCCCAGTTCTTTGTGATGTGTTTCTCGCGGCATAAAGAAGGAAAATTTATAATATCGTCAAGGATCCCAGCATCAAGGTGATTCTTAGGTACGTCGACGATTTCTCGATTTTATGCAACACGCAGTCGAATGAAGAAACCAACGGGTGCCTTGAATTTGTTATGAGATGTTTACAACAGAGCTACTTTGAACTCACGTTCACCTACGAGCTTCCTGTAGACAAGTCTATAAGGTTCCTGGATATACACGTTTGCAAGTCCGGTCTCAGGGTGCCGCCATCTTCCTCAGTGGGGGTGCGCTCTCGGGAGCGGCCATAATCCGATTACGACGCCTTAGCAAGGCTTCGTAATCGGATTATGACTGGTCCAAGCGCACCCCAGACAGGCAAGATGGCAGCGCCCTGAAGCCGGACTTGCAAACGTGTATAGCCCTGAAGTTTACGGTTGGTCACGTGTGCTGAAGGTACCAAGCTAGATCCTGTAAAGGATTCCTTCCTTTTGACTCTGGACATACGAAAAATGTAAGACGAGGTGTGGTGACTACAGCACTTATACATCTTCCCTTAAAGGACAACTCCGCTCAATTCCAGGAATTTTGGGGTTTTTGGTGATTATACACTAAGGTATACTAATAAACGGCTCGACGTCGTTTGTTTCTCAAAAAAGGAAATATAATTCTCGTAATCCTTCTTTACTCCTGATCACGAACCGAAACCGAAACTGCGCCCGCGCCTGGCAACATTGGCCCCGCGTCGTCATAGTCTGGGACAACCCACGTGGTACGAACGTCACCGCACGACCTCGCCGACCGCGCGGACGGACGGATCGGCGGAGCAAGCGTCGTCGCGCCGTGTCGTCTGCTCCACGGTCTCTGCTATCCAACGACGTGTGCACTACCGCAGCCGCAGAGTGTTTTGACGCAGAAAAAGGCAACTTGTTTTAAAGTTATGTTTTGGAACCATTAGTGGTTGAAGTTAAGTAAACCACTCGTAATATACTAGGCATCGCAGCAACAAAACGTTGCTCCGAGACGCAGCAGGTTCGGTCTTCCCGACGACGAGCGCGGAGCGCTCGCTCAGACACTCATCAGCGCATGCGCGTTTTGGATCACGTGGACATCGGTATGCACGCTGCTGGCGCCGCCTGTAGGCTGCGCCTCAATAAAGTAAAAAACAAGAAAAAAACGGTCCCAGACTATGACGTGCGGCGCAGTGTTGGCTGCGCCAACACGCGGTATTGACTGCGCTGTTCTCTGCGCCGCACATCGGCCGCTAGAATTAGCAGATTTCGGAGACTTGAGGCATCTCAAACTTTGTTTACCAGTTTAACAAACTTTTAGGCTTAATTACGTCGTAAAACTTGACGTGTAGTCTTTCTAGGTGATACTAAAGAGAACTGCGTTGTTTTTTCAACATCGAAAATGAAGCGGAGTTGCCCTTTAAAAGGTTCTGCCATCATCGAGTTGGGCGAAGCTTTCAAAGCTGCAGGCTGCTGGTCACCGAAATACATTATTGACAGTGACGTGTGAAATATCTGCAGGAACATCAAGCGGAACCTTGGGGGAAATTTCCAAACAAAGAAAAAGACACGAAAGCCTATATAGTGATAGCGCTTTTTATGTACGGTATTACTCACAAATTGAAGAAGATTGCGGGACGGAAACACGTCCACATGGTTTGCTCCCCGCCGAATAAGGCATATTCTGTGTGTCGCAGTGTAAACCAGATGGGAAAATTCAAAAACGTTTGTGGCGTTGCTCACAGGACAAAGTATGCGTCGCGTGAAAAAGGAGTCATATATAGCATCCCATTACCATGGGGTCGATGCTACATAGGCCAAACCGGTCGTTGCATCAACGACCGGACAAGGGAACATGCTGCTTCATTAAGGAACATATCAGCAGGGAGACATCTATCAATCCATTGTCGAAGTTGCCGGTGACCTGTAAGTTTGCAAAAGATGAAGGTTCTGGAGAAAGAAAAAAAAAAAAGAGAAAAACTTTCGCGTGAAATTCTTGAGGCGTTGGCTATCGATGAAAAATAAGATGAATGTGTCAGTGCCCGTATACCTTGGCGCTGCACCAGCCAGTGTCCTGCGAGGGTCCTGTGGGGGTCCTGAAGCACACGAGGCAGCTCTGGTTTTGTAAAAGAGTATAGCAACGAAAGAAAAATCCAGTTTGTAAATAGGGACGAAGAGGGCTTCGATTCACTTGACGTCCTTCAGGCTTTTCGCTACATTTTGCTGTTTCTTTTGTTATTTATCAACTCGCGGATCGTTTTTCGTTAATTATTTGCAGATATAACCTAGAGTATTATAGTGCATACGTCTAAGATGTAGTCTGAAAATCCTGTACCAACATGCCATTGAGAAATAATTCTGTTTTCATTTTCAGACAGCCAAGGCAAACAAAAACAGCGGCTCCACTAAATTTGGCGTCAGCCTGTCCCCATCCTACGTGACCTCCAACGGCGACTACTTGCCGGCCTACGACGCCATGATGGAGGATCTCCATAAGGAGGACGGCATCGTTGCCCATGGGGTGCTCGGTGCAAGCGTGGGCATTGGTGGCTTGGAGACACAACCAGAACTCACGAGCTGGCTTCAAGTGCGTATTCACCATAAATATAATAAATCGCACAATAAAGAATGAGGACAAATGCAAAACTTCGCTTTAGCATTTTAAATGCATGGCATTTAGAAACTAGAACGCCTGGCACCATGATGCCACTTTACTGTTTCGCGTGACGTGACGTCAAAATGCTACACTGCGATGTCAACTGACGTCACGTACGTGACCACGTGACGTCTGGTATCATGTGAGATAATGTCACACTGTGGCGTCAGGGTGGCCCATGGAATTACGATGTCACGTGACGTCATGATGCCTCGTGATAGCGTTATGTCACAGATGACACCATTTAACACTGTCCAAATCTCCCCGTTCATAGCGGAACATAATGCAACCAGAACTGAACAGCAGCCTCCTGAAATAAAGCTTTGCTGTACTTCACCCAAACACTATCCAAACACAGATGAAAATGCGGTCACTTACTTTCCAGGTTTTATAACCATTGTCATCGGCTTTATCATCAGCGGGCGGGGGGACTGTCATTTACTAACAAGCGGTCATGCAGCGATCCAGAAGCAGCAGCTCCATAATCAAGTATTAGGCCACTCAGGCATCGCTTTATGTGTCAGGGGCAGGTCACACGTCAGGCGCGAGGACGTGACTTGTAAGCTAAGTTTATGTTACTATAATCGGAGTTATGCGAACATGGTCGGGGATTGTGTTCATAACGAACGAGACAATGATTTGCAAGGCATAAAAATTCCGGAATGAGCACACGGATGAAGCACCTGAGGGCTTAAACTATTAGCGAGGAAATTAAACGTTAATTGGAGGCGCTTTGCTCAGCTTGTTTACCACGGAGCTCAAGGTTTGCCCGACACAAGAGCCGTGAACTGGATTCTTTATATCGTATCCTTTTTAATCGTGCACAGGACGCAGATTGAATATGACTGCTGCTTCAGCGTTGGGCAGGAACTTGTACGACATTGGTGCTTCACTGATCCAAAACCAGCCTTAGCCAAACCCTGACGCAGCATTTGACTACGTCAGCCAAGCGCTGCGTCAGAAACACAAACAACTAATTAATGTTGTTGCCCCATGGGTTTTGTTCTTAACCATGTCACTAGGATCGCGAAGGTTGGACTAGCTCCCCGAACGTTTTGCAGTCGTGTAGTGAACCGCGAGGAACGAATCTACAAAGGCGGCCCCTCAATTTCAAAGTCACATAAATCAGTTCATCTAATTCGGAATCGTACACTATTCTGAATGCACTCAACTTCATGCTTGTTGTATTTGCTCTAGCCATACCACCCTGCTGAGAAATTATATCGTCGTGTATATAAGTTTGTATCAAGAGCGAACTCTCAAATAAGAACGTTTCTATTGTCTTCAAGGGAATGTCGAAAGGGCTGGCAGCCATCGAGTGTAAATACAAGAAGCTTTTCGTGGGGCTGCGTCTGGAGGCCAGCTACCCTTCTCTGCGACTGGCGAGTTCCATGCAGGCCGAGTTTGCACAGACGTTGCAGACACAGCTGGAATCCCTGAAGCAAGCACACTCTCTTTTCTTTTTCGAAAGAATTAGTTGACTCATTACAGCCCACGTTCCTGAGTTGCTCTCAAGATATGCTGTTTTAAAAATTAATCTTGTCTTAATCGTTTGGTTAAATCCGAGGAGCACAGTGGGTGTCGTGCGTGCGTTATGCGTGCAGTATGATTTGTTTTGCTCGTCTGTTTAATACCCGAGTCCCACTAGAGCGACCAACAGAAGAAAAAACGACAGCGTCAAGCCTCAAAAACATGCCGCATGCTCGCGATGGTACCTTCGGCAGGCGTTTAGTCGTTCGGTTCTCGTAAAGCAAGCACGAGTGATTGCAAGCCTGCTAAAGATACCCTCGCGTGCATAACGCTCGTGCTTGAGCATAGCCTTCTCTACAAAGCCTGTCAAATCGCAAAGGAACGTGTTTTGAGGCTTGTCGCTGTCGTTTGTTTCTGTTTGTCGTTCTAGTGGGACTCGGGCATTACACGTCATCGTAAGATATAATGACGAAAGTGATAATAATTTGTTACCGCTGTTTAGCAAGGAATTTAAGAAATTATTACGTTCTTATTGTTGTTGTTCTTTTTTAAACAAAAACATACTCATCGATATCTAAACACTGCTGAAAAACAACCTGGCTTCCTCATTCAGCCTCTAGAAAATCGCAGACAGGCCGAATAGACGAGGAGTGTTTGAAAAGCGAGTTCCCTGTTGTAGATAATATAATGAAAGGCTGTTTTTTTTTTTATCTATTTGAAAGATTGGAATCTTTCGGGAAGTTACGAGTTTGATCTTGTTTCCTTTTAAAATCAGGGTGGGGATTCTGGTCCTCATGACGCATGCGCAAGAATCCGGCCGTTCAGGGACCGGACCTTGCATCACCGTCCCGGCGGCGCTGCTCTCCAGGCCGGGCGTTGAAGAAAGTCCGGACACTGCCCAAATACCGGATCTGGTAACTGAATGCATCAACTGTAACTGCTCATTCATCGTTAATTTATTGCACTAACTAACGTAAAACACGAAGGTAGTCAAAGATTGTGTGAAGATAGCTCTAATGACATTGAAGGATATGGACACGAAGGTGACGCTTTTGATGATGTATAATTGGTCTCGTAGCGTCGGCTGAGTTCGGGCAAGGTGAAACGGAGTCGTAGTCCTGTCTTTGTGGCCATGTTCTTGTCTGTCCTTTGAGCTATTTATGTTTAATATGCTTATTATGCCAGTTAAATATTTTGATACTCGTCTGAAAAACACGAAAGGAACTCTCTTACAGTCACAGAGGGGAGCGGACGTTCTGCTATGAAATAACTTTTTCAGGATCTTAAAGGGATACTGAACCGAAAATTCGAGTTCACAAAACAAGGCCGGGCGGATAGGCGGGAAGCTGCAAAACCAAGAAATATCATTCATACGGCAATATATATAACGGATCGCCGTATTTTTTGGAAAAGAAGTGCGCGATTGAATCCGGCCGACGAGGCCGACGCGACAAGTCACGTCACGATTCCCGTTCTCTCTCCTCCTCGCTACGTCCCGTCAAGCTGGTGAACCGAAGCGAGGAGGAGAGAAGCGAGGCCGCTTCTCCTCATTCTCGCATTCTCCCGGAGGACAGTTACGTCAAAGAACTCGCTTGATCGCGCCCTTCTTTTCCAAAAGTACGGCCATCCGTTTGAGATATCGATGTACGAGTGATGTTTTGGAGTTCATAGCGTCCCGTTCAACACTTCTGCAGCCTTACTTTGCGAAATCCAAATTTCGGTTCAGTATCCCTTTAAAGGAGCTCTATTTTATTGAAACATCTAGTCATACTAATTAATTGTGTACGAAACTACTTTGGATCACAAATCGCTGCCCAGCTATGCATTACACGATAATGCAAAGTCCCCTCACACCACCGACGATACACAAACGCTACAGAAATAGATTGCCGCCACAATTGATCTTAATCTAATTGCAAAAGAGCACCGCGACATCACTCGGTCAGTAACTCTAGATTTCTCAAGGTCATTATAGTTGTTTTTCATTTATACCATAAAATCAGGTGTCAAATATTTAGATTAAACAACGATCACAGCATGTAAACTAGCACTTCTGAGGCACTTTAGACGGCACGCAAAGATCGGTTTCTAAACGTATCGCGCTGCAATTCACTACAAAGGTGCAAATAGGTGGTGGCAGTTTACAGTGAAAAAATCAAGGAATAAAAATACCTCGTTTAAAAAAACACCGTTCTCGGCAATCTACGCCGCCACTTCGCAGTCGAAGCACGGGTAGAGAGAAGTGCTGCCGGCAGATGACGTAAGACCCCGTCGAGGGAGCGTCGGCCGATTCGTGTTCTTTTCCGAGATCGTCTGCTATCAACCTGAATTGTCCGGCGCTCCCTCGACGCGTTGGAACAGTGAGTAGAGACAAAGTCAGCTAGCACGACGTCTACCCACTATTCATTCAATTTAGTTCAACTCAATTTACTTAAAATTCAAGATAATCACAGATCACACTGCACAAACACATCTGGATCCGTAGCCTACTTGGCTAGTCTTGCCAAGTAGGCTACATTCCAACCAGATGTCGGTGCTCCGCCGTCCCCGCGTGCTCTGGTCTCCTCCTCTCCCTCAGTTGCTACCCTTATAGTCGGACTACCCTACAAGTCACAATAGGAACTAAATGTCTGACACTGTCACGATCACGACTCCCAAACTAACCTAGTCTCGTTGCTCGTTTGCCCACGACAGGAGACCTCCGCCCGACTCCTGTCCCTCTTCAATTCAACCACGACAAGAACTCTCCTCTCGACAACTCTAGCGGCGATCAGGTATCTTCCTTTGCCACTGCCGCGTAGCCTCCTGGGTAATCACGCTACTTATGTTAACTTAATTACTCAGTCGTTGTAACTTAATACTTGTGTGCACTTAGACGCATGAGTCGAGTCAAGCGTCATTTTTCAACACGCGATCGACCAGCTATGCAAAAGAGCTCCTCTATTATGTCCGCATATAATGGATTTTTATGTTAATACCTATACGTACTCGTTTCTCAATTAATCTGTAATACTCATTTGTCGTTCATCGCGAGGTTTTTCAGCTTACCTTCTTCTGCAGCACCACGTGTTCCTGAACCCACTTTCGCGGCTTAATTTTTAGACCGCCAGGCCGCGAGTATCTGATTCGCTTGAAAAGGCTGGCAAGCGAGCCTGCCGCCACAGCTTTCTGTTCTAGCCGCTAGGTGAACTCGGTTTCTCTGCAATCGTAAAAAAAAATGTTCAATGTACGTACTTACATGTCCGATGCTCACGGGTGACACACAGCCCGCCGTGTAAGTAGAAACTAAAAAAAAAAAAGATACCCGTTAAAAATTCTGAAGTGACAATGAAGTGATTTTTCAACATCTTCCTAGGTTTCTTCCTCAACACAAAAGCGAAATGAGAAATCACGCGGTCGTGAAGTACTTGGGCACCCGTGCGATGTCTCCAAGCTTCCACCGCCCTTGTTAAGTGCATCATGGAACTTGTCATTCGCAAGCGATGATAAGTGCCGTCAAGGCACTTATCATCACTTATCATTGGCCACAGACGCGAATTCAAGTATTCGTCGACGGATTGATTGTTGACGAGCGCAATTGCGAAACTGGATGCATTAGAGCGTAAACAAATTCCTGTTTCGGGCTTTATGGACACCGACGATGAATTGGGGTCTACATTTGGAAAAAAAAACTGGAAAATCATTTCATGGTCCCTTTCAATACGCTGCAACTTTTTATTAATTTTTATTTATTTTATCGCGCGAGCTGCATTTAGGCGTGCGTATAATGAGCGCAGTTTAGAGTATTGACTTTTTGTTCCTAGTCACTTTTTATGTGACAGTTTTTATGGTAAAATGGCCTATCATTTTTTTCTTGAACTTTGTCAGGCTTTACGTTTATTCTAAGGAGATTAAGAAGAAGAAAAAAAAAGTTTTGCGCGTTGTCTATATGCTACCCGATGTAGTTTTTACAAAATTTGGTTGTCGGGTAAAGAAACGATGCTTTTGAAGTTTGAAACGTCAACGACTTTGTAAAATAACCTAGGACTAATCAGACATGCACCCGCATATATCTGAATTCGAGACATAAAGAGGGAAATTAGTAATGCTCCGCAAGGTGCCGGGCTTTCCTTTTACTGAGGTGAAGGTGAATACAGTATAGAGAAAGTGCATAACATTGCTTTATCTCGTATGAACATTTCCAAGACAAATTGCAGGACAAATCTCACTTCACATAAACAGTGCAAACAAAAAACAAAAAAAACAGGATATGTGTTTTGTTGCACAGGTACAGTTCCAAGACTCTCTTTTCCCGGGAAGGAACGCCGTTCGGCAAGCCCTGCCAGGAGGGCAACAAGACCAGCTACTTGGAGACGTGCAAGAGGAGCAGCTGGAAGGAGATGACTGCCATGGGTCTCTTCAAGGACATTATGAGCCCCTGGCAGTCTTGGGCAAACACGTTGCTCTCCTACGACAACAAGATGTCACTCGGGAACAAGGTCTGTGCTCAGGGACGTGTTCCTCCTGAAGGAACAACCAAACACTGCTCTTGTCAACCTGTGAAAGGGCGAAGCAACAATTTTCCAACTTTTAGTACATACCGCGCTTGGAGTATTTCTTGATGATTCATAGCCTATGAAAGACGCGTTGGTTCTCTTCTTCGCGTAATGGCAGTCGCAGAAAAAGAATTCATGACAAATTAGCGGCGTTCACCCCCTTAACTCGAAGCCAGAACAAGCGACCACGTGATTTGATGCCGTTTATGTGCCGCCAATCTGTATCAAAACCACGCGCTGAGGTTGGCAAAGCATGTGGGCACGGGCCGAGTTCACCAGATTGTTAAGGTTCGGCTATTCCGAACGCCACATTGATTGGACACGAATGCATATCGAGGCAATGGTTGTCACGAGCCGAAGTCGAATGCTCACGCACTGCTGGTGTCCACTGTACGGGCCGCATTTCAATATCGTCATCGCGGATATCGCAAAGGTTGATAAAGCGATCCTAGGTATCGCATTGTTGACAACTCCAACATTGCGATTCCCACAACTTCGTCATTAAGCTCTTGCGCAAGAGAGACCGAAAGAAAACGTTCGTTCTTATCCTTGAAATTACGCGGTGATGAAGAAGCTTCTTGGTCAGTAGCGTCTCTTGCGAGTATACTAAGATGGGCCAGTAAACTTGCGTAAAATGATAACATTCCGACCCAACATTGTTGCGCGGCCCCTGTGAGACGGTTTCGGCTAAGTTGGGCCCGGTCGTAGCGTGATGCCTTTTCTTTTATATCGTCTGCCATACGCTTTTCATGACTATTACTTAACGTAACCGTACATCGATTTACTTGCATTTACTCAAGGCTGCTCGGAAAAGCTTACCATTAACCTGTAGCAGCCGAGCTAGCGGTGCTTCCGCGACGATGAAAAAGAAGCATCTCGGCGCGAACACACAGAACGAGACACCACGAGCTGGGAGATTCGGCGACCGAGCGGCCCGGCGGCTACATCGAGCGATGACCAGGACAGTTTCATTTCTTTTGTAAATATTGTACATAGAAAGTATGTTGGGAGGTTTATTCCTGGTTCCAACATAATTGGTGACCCGGACGTGATTCCGAAATGTCTACGGAGTCTGCAGGTGAGCCTGCACACCCGGCAAGTGCCTCCCAAGCAAGCGCCGCCTTGGGAATCGCCGCTTCCTCGGTCCTCACTTTACCGGAGTTTTGGGCTGAGGATCCAGCGCTCTGGTTCGTACAAGTGGAGAACAAATTCTGCTTGCACCGCATAACCTCCCAGACCCGGCAATACGAGCTCCTCGTTGACGCCCTCCCGCCGCAAGCCGCTACCGAGGTGCGGGACGTTTTACTTTCCCCAAGCGGTGACACTCCTTACGAAGTTCTCAAAGAAGCCTTGGTCAGTCGTCTCGTCGCCTCTGAACAACGACGCCTTCAGCAGCTCCTCAGCGCAGAAGAGCTAGGTGACCGTCGACCCACCCAGTTCTTGCGACACCTGCAACATCTTCTGGGCGACAAGGCGGCCTCCATCGACGCCGCCATCCTCAGAGAGCTATTTCTACAACGGCTGCCGGCTTCTGTTCGTGTCGGCCTAGTGGCAGCCCACAGGCTTCCGCTTGTAGAATTCGCCGAGCTGGCGGATCGAATTATGGAGGTTTCCGGTCCCACCATCGGAGCAACACAGCAGTCTCCAGACCTTGTTTCGGACATCGCTAAGCTCCGTCAAGAAGTGCAGAATAGATGCGACCTGACGACCATCGTGTCCGAGCTTCGGCTGGAATCCCGTGACCATGGTCAATCGTCACAGCAACACTCCGGTCGCAAAGGTCGCCGTCGGCCATCACCGTCGCCTCGCCCTCCAGACAAGTCGCTATGTCGGTACCGCCGACAGTTCGGACCTAATGCCCGCCGCTGTTGTTCACCCTGTTCCTGGAACCAGAAAAACGGGACGGCCGATCGCTAGTGGCGGCGAGCGACCCATATTGGCCCACGAGTCGCGTCTTCCACATCCACGACAGGATCGTCGGCACCCGTTTCTTAGTGGACAAAGGTGCTGAGGTCAGCATCATTCGAGCCTCATTTTTTGATCGCCGGAATCGCGTCCAAACTACATCATTGCAAGCTGTCAACGCTTCTCCCATCAAAACGTATGGACAAAAATCACTAACGTTGGACCTTGGCCTCCGACGACGGTTCCAGTGGTTGCTCTGGGTTGCAGACGTCAGCTACGCAATAATTGGAGCAGATTTCCTTCGGAACTTCAACATCTGGGTGGACATGACACAAAGAAGGCTAATTGATGCGACCACTCACCTACAAGTCTCTAATATTGCGTCTCGAGCGCCAGCTCTTAGCCCCACTTTCGGCACACCAGCCGTTTTGAAGGATACCACCATTTACTCGAAGATAGACCTCATAAAGGCTTACCATGAGATTCCGGTTGAACCTGCAGACATACACAAGACGGCCATGACAACTCCTTTCGGCCTCTTTGAGTTCGTCACAATGCCGTTTGGGCTGCGTAACGCAGCCCAAACTTTCCAGCGATTTATTGACCAAGTCATCCGCGGTTTGCCTTTTTGTTTTGCCTACCTCGACGACCTCCTCGTAGCGAGCAAAACCCCGGAGGAACACAAGCGCCATCTCACCACACTGTTCGACAGGCTACACGAGTATGGCATTATAATAAACGTGGACAAATGCCAGTTTGGTGTACCAGAGCTGACCTTTCTTGGCCATCACATTGACTGTCAAGGTATCCGACCACTACCAGACAAGGTCAAAGTCGTCACCGATTATCCACAACCTACAACAAAACGCGCCCTCCGGCGATTTCTTGGGCTTGTAAACTTTTACAGGCGTTTTCTCCCCCACGGTGCCAAGCTTCTACAGCCATTGGAGACACTGCTTTGCACCTCCAAGGGCGAGAAACCAACGTTGCCATGGCCCCCGGAGGCGTCGATAGCATTTGAGAGCGTGAAGAAAGAACTAGCCAATGCCACACTCCTCGTACACCAGTCTTCAGATGCACCAACGTGCCTGATGGTCGATGCCTCGGACGTCGCGGTCGGAGGTGTGTTGCAGCAGAAGATCGCAAATATATGGTCACCCATATCATTTTTTTCACGTAAACTGCAAGACGCAGAGAGGAAGAGAGTTACTTTGAAAGAGAGTTACTTTGGAAGAGAGTTACTTCCGGCTTACTTAGCCATCAAACATTTCCGACACTTCCTGGAAGGGCGTGCCTTCTTCATAGCCACGGATCACAAACCGCTGGTTTATGCCATTCAGTCATCGAACCAAAATCATTCACCACGAGAGCTGCGACATCTTTCCTTCATCGCGGAATTCACTTCCGATATCCGACACGTGAAAGGAAAAGAAAACACCGTCGCAGACACATTATCACGTCTGGAGCTGAATGCCCTCAACGCAGAGAAAGATCAGTTCACCTACTCTGAACTAGCTGCGGCTCAAGCACAGGACGAAGAACTTCGATCCATCATGAAGACCGGCACGTCCCTCGTCCTCGAAGAGGTAACCCTCCCTGACCATGGTATCACTTTGATATGTGATACTTCGACAGGAAAACCCCGCCCGTATGTGCCACGCCAACTGCGTCATGCGGTGTGCTCGTCACTTCACTCCCTCTGCCACCCAGGCATACGCGCAACACAAGAGCTGGTAACGAACCGTTTCGTATGGCCCAAAATCAACGCCGACATATGGGAATTCGTACACTCTTGTCTTGCCTGCCAGAGGTCGAAGGTGCAGCGTCACACCCATACAACACTTGGCAAGTTTCCTCTTCCATCCACACGCTGTGAGAACGCCCATCTAGACATCGTTGGTCCACTTCCAACTTCACGGAATTTTTCATACCTTTTGACATGTGTCGACAGATTTTCTCGCTGGCCAGAGGTGGTACCACTAGAAAATATCACCGTTGCCAGTAACACGCGCTTTCATATCCAGCTGGATCAGCCGCTTCGGTGTGCCTGCCACAATCACCACCAATCGCGGGCGCCAGTTTGAGTCTGCGATATTTAAAGAATTAACATCTCTTCTGGGCTCAGGACGGACGCGCACGACAGCATATCATCCTGCTGCGAATGGCCTCGTCGAGCGATTCCACCGTCAGCTGAAGTCTGCGCTCCGAGCACAAACCTTTCCCGATGCACGCGTTGACAACCTACCAGTGGTGTTACTAGGCATGCGATCAACTTTGAAGCCCGACTTGGGTTGTACAGTGGCAGAACTCGTGTACGGTTCTCCCCTTCGTCTCCCTGCTGACATGGTTGAACCATCAACGGCACAAAGAATAATGGACCCCACCTCCTACGTACAACGACTCCGGGAAGCCGTGAACTCTTTGCGCCCAGTACAGACACGGCAACCTAGCGCACGACAAGTCTTCGTTCATCCTGCCCTCGCCCAATCATCACACGTATTCATACGTCGGGATGCGGTAAAGAAACCTCTCAGACCTCTATACGATGGCCCATACCAGGTCGTAGGCAGAACACCGAAGTTTTATATGGTACTTATACAGGGACGTCGAGATACAGTTTCCCTGGACCGAGTAAAACCTGCTTTCACCACAGCCTTCGACACAACTACTACCCCTGTGTTGCAGAACAATGCTCCAACGCACTCCCCACTTGGTGCGCAAGTGGCCCAGGCCACTTGTCCAGGGGGGGGGGGCATCTGTAGCAGCCGAGCTAGTGGTGCTTCCGCGACGATGAAAAAGAAGCATCTCGGCGCGAACACACAGAACGAGACACCACGAGCTGGGAGATTCGGCGACCGAGCGGCCCGGCGGCTACATCGAGCGATGCCCGGGGCAGTTTCATTTCTTTTGTAAATATTGTACGTAAAAAGTATGTTGGGAGGTATATTCCTGGTTCCAACAAACCCTTATTACTTTTAAACTAGCAATTGAAAATAAGGCTAATAAACCGTGCATGACATGCTCTCGAGTTGCAGCCG